ACAGATTGCGCATGAGCATACTTCTCGTCACTTACACTTTCATCGTTTAATTTATTGTAAAATTTTTCAATTGGGGGCAAAGTCGTTTCATTTAATTTTTTCAACGAATCAATGTAATCGTAACAGAAAACTCCTTTCTGTGTTAATAATTTGAATTTATCTTCATCTAAATTTTGAAATTCCCTTTGTAAAATTTTCTTTTCTGATACTGCTAAAATTGAAGCTAATTCATCAAGAGACGCCCCCATAAATCGAAAAGAGTCTATAAACCGCAATTTAATGTTATTTTCATCTGAGTGCAGCGTAAAGGAGATGTATTTATCTTTGTTGATGGGAAGTAGACTTAAGCGACCTTTTTTACATAAATTCGAAATCATAAAGTGACTATCGTACCCACTTAAATTATGGAATATAACCGGCACAACAAACAATTTTCTAAAGTTCAGATTGCATGCTTGGTGTGCGTAACCTCTGAACTCTCCACTGAAATGGTTGTGATCTCTAACGATTATGTCTTTTTTTGTTTTTGAAAATCTCTTACCGCAAATATGACATGATGTTGCCTTACATGTGTCTAATTTTTCAATCATAGGTACGCTTGTTTTTATTTTTGAGTTTACAAATTGCGCAACACCAGCCATACGATTTGCAAACCAATCCATACAATCTGCACCTCGAAAGCTCTCGAAATAAGAAAGGCTATCATCATAGCTGCATTTTACATAGAAACCAGCACTATACGGAACGTGTTTTTGATATTTTATGGTTTTAGTTAAATTTACGACGCTACTTTCTTTATGATTTTCTAATTGACATTCAAAATCTGCATAAACAACAAAAGGAGTATTTTGTTGGTATGTAAAGTTTTTAAATTCAACGCAGCTCTCTTTAGGAAGGTTAATTTTATATTTATTAAATTTAGAACACAGTTTTTCATGTTCAACTAATTTATTTTGCTGATGGAAATAGTTCAGACATCTATCGCAAATAAATTTTTTCTCACGATGTTTATTTAACTGGCTACTAATAAGACGCGAAAGATTTTTAATCCAACAATAGTGATATTTAATTTCATCGATTGAATCATTATCTTCATTTGCTGGCGCTGGTGGAGGAGCATCATAATCATTTAAACGCGGATAATATTTATTTTGAGCTAAAAGTAAATTAACATGCGTATCCCGTTTATTTTCCGTTAATCTTGCTGGTACTACTATGTAAAATGATTTTTTTTCTGTTTCGATCAATTCTAAAGCGTAAACATTGACTGAAATGTTATTCATCTTTTCAAATTTTGAAATTTTTGTTAGCAGCATAGGACTATCTAAATTTTCTGTTTGTAAAACGTCAGTAAAGTGTGGATATGAGGAGGTTAGTTCTGCATGTCTTTTATTGCTAGGAGTCCGAAGAGCGCTTACAATGGCCCAGTAAAAGCAATTTTGATCTATATTTTTAATGTTTATACAAGCATTTTTCCTTATAATCGGTTCTGGTAGTCTAATATAAGATGAACCGTTTCCCAATTGATATTTACTGATATTAACAACTAAGGAAATAATTTTATTTAACGCAAATCCCGAATCTTTTTCAGCAAATTCCGATAATTCGTTTAAAAGTTTATCTTTCACATATATCTTAAACCACTCGTCTATTTGAGTTGATGTATCAATAATATGATTTTTAGTATTAATATATTTAATTCCCAAAATTTCATTATCCCCCGATTTCCTAATAAACTCCCCGCAAAATGTTGTATTTACTTTGAGCGCACAATGGGTGTTCAAAATATTCCTAATTTTCCTTTTAAAAACAACTACACAATCTGCTAAAAATTGATTCAAGTCCTTATGACGCAAATTAGCTATGGAACCGGTTTTTATTCTACTTTGAAAGCTCGATTCTACATTTTCCCATCTAACCCTCTGACCCAATGTTAAGTGAAGTCCTGCCCCAATATGTCTAGTTAAAATCAACTTTCTAAAATGTTTAAAATGCCCCAAATTTGTTTCTACTTTTCTACAGGTCCCTACAGATAATTTATTTTGCCTTCTACTACGAATTACCCGTTTACATAATCTAATTTGTTTTTCTATTCGTTTCAGCCACACTTCCGCGTCTCTGATTGTAAAATTATCAAATAAAATTTTCCGTAGACTAACAATTGATAGTAGAACACCGTCTGTTTGTTTGATGATCTTTTTAACCTTATTTGAAGACATTTGAAAAGACGACATTTTTTTTTTCAAGCAAACACATTACTCAAAAATATATAAAAATGCTCACCCTGTCCTCCTCCTCCTGTTCTCTGCTTTGTTAATTTTCCACTATTTTGAATGATGCTAGCGGTCGGCTTTTCCCTACGTCCACTTCCCCTTGGAAGATGATCGAGTATTTTCCGTGAAAAAGTTCGTCGATGACCGGCTGGTACGTTTCCGTCACCCGCTGTGGTAGAAATAGCACTTCCGGTCCTAAATCTAGTAGCACGGCTTCCCCAAATTTCGACTTGACCACTTTAGCTGCTTGGATTGCAAATGGTGTCCCGACTGGTAGGTCCTTTAATTTTCTGATAGGTTTGCGGTCTACAATCGAAGACGCAGCATTAATTTTTGATAAATCCATCTATAAAAAAAATTGAGTCGTCTAACTATTTTGAAGCATAACACGAAAAAACAGTTGCACTTAGAGACATAAAAAAGAAAAATATTAAATAAAATAGCACTTACTTTTTTTAAAATTTTCGCTATCTCGTCTCTCTCGAAGCACTATTGTACTGCGGCCGTTGTTCCAGCTTGCAGCGTTGTGCGTTAAGTGTGAAACAATGATGACTATTGCATGCGCTCGCTAAATATAAATACGTGGTTGAGATAACACACGCGTGCATGAGATAATTGTATCGTAAATATGCATATTATATGCATCATATTCTCAGTACCATTTTTATCGAGAAAACAACATTCATTGCGGTTGCAGTATTTTTTATATAATTTCTTAGTAATACATGAATGTATCGTTTGTCCGGCGGAAATTCCAATTACAAGTTGCACATGAGAGTAGAAATTTAGAAATATAGTAAATTCGTGTATGATTATTGTATATTTGCTGCCTAATTTTTTTTCAGTCAAGATTTTGATTGGGGGGTAAACGAATTTATATTTGCTATCTGAGATTTTTGACATCATTCTCTATCAGGTGTTGGTTCATGAAATTGGACATGCTCTCGGCATAGCACATAGTGCTTCTCCGAATGCTATTATGTTTGCCTTCTATCAGCATGAGATTCGTGGTCTAGATGTTGATGATATAAATGCAGTACAATATCTATATGGAAGAAAAAACAAATATGATTCAATCCCAACGTCTACCACCGCATCAGCAATACCAAAAACAACAACAACTATAAGATCTACAACTCGTAAGCAGCCGATCCTCAAAAATTTGTGTGATATTATTCCAGATTTTATGTTTTTAGCTATTGCTCCAGAGTTTTCAAATTACCGATTATATATTGCACATGATATGTTTATATGGAAACTAGACTTAAACGAAATGATTATCCCATCTCAGCCTGAACTTCTTGTCGATTATGTTCCTACAGAATTACGTCAATACACTTTACAACATATTTTCCAATCAACAAACGGTGACTTGATTACCATTGTGTCTCCAAACAACTATTTCTCAGCATCATTCCCTACCATTAAATTTCTTGATAATTTTTCAATTGATATACCCGATAGGGCTCGAATCAATGCTATTTTTCAATCAAACGCAGGACGGTCCTATACCTTTTATAATAATATGTCATATATAGAATTTTCTAACGATTTTACTGATGTGTTGAACAGAGGACGGATAAGAGACATATTTCCTGGGTTACCTGAAGTTTAGGGAAAAAATTAAAAAACAACCAGAACTGAACCGTGAAATACATAATTTGATTCTTGTCTGTCATGAACCAAATCAGTTGTCGAACAATGATTTGAGTCGATTAGTATCAACATCTAAAGTACTCCCTGATATGTAGTTTTATTGAAAATACCTCTGGTTTGCGAAATAATATTGTCGGAATTTCTTGTTGCAAGTTGTTCAAGCGCGGGTATTCAAAACATGGCACACACACACACACCAATCAACCTTATTGTTATATATACTATATGTTTCAATAAAATATCCATTATACTATTTTCATTTTGAACGGTATCATCCTGTATAATAATAACAGTACATCGTATACAGGTTATGAGACATTCTGACCGACCGACCGACCGACCAGAGGAGCCCACCACGCTATTTAGGTCACGCCTTGCTATATACGATTTAACGATATACCGTCGGTCCATCGATCCGCTATTTTTCGATGCACCCCTGTATACACGTTGCCCCCCGTAATCCACGCCAACACCAGACAGGTGCGACATCGGCGCCATCTATGCGCGAGATGCCCAACCCATCAATGGCAGCTGTCCAATGACGCATAGATTCCGTTAGGTTTGTACACCGCCAAACAAATCTACGCCATTTATGCGCGAGATGCTCAACCCATCAATGACAGGTGTCCAATGACGTATGACAGATGACGTGTAACGCCATCTATGCGTGAGATGCCCAATGACGCATGACAGGTGTCCAATGACACACAGATTCCGTTTGGTTTGACAGCGCCATCTAGCGGCGGAATCCCCAACTCATGAATACAGATTCCGTCCAACAACCTGTCAATGGCGCGCGACGCCAGCGCCTCTGGTGGCGGATTTTGGAAGTTTTGAGACCGAATCCCCATAGACCATCTACTAACTTCGAAGTCACCCTGTATATATCACAGAGGAGTCACTTTCTATCACAGGCATTGTATTGGGCAAGCCTCACCCCATTCAGGTGGTTGGCAATTCTCAATTCGAATTTATGGCAAAAATTTATGTAATAACAACAACTCAATATGTCAGGTATTTATTTAATAAGAATGCATTGTATAATCCTATAGTAAACTAAACAGATAGTGTTCAATCCTCATACTCGAGGTTATATTTGAGGATAATTTCCGGAGGTAAATACCTTGCAATCTCACACAGAAATGATCTAAGGTTATAATTAATCATATCACTACAAGACTGCTCAACAGTACAATCTTCTTGTAGATACTGCGCACACAACTTCTGCCCTTCCTCGTACTTCCGAATTAGTCTCCTGATCCTTTCAACCTCGTTATCATCCCAACAAATATTCATATCGCAGTTTGTTGAATGTTCAGCGTCATGCATCAAATCCGTTGACTGGCACACTAATCTTATGATAGCTGAATGTAGATCCTTTGAATCAGGCCAACGCAATGATGCATAATGCATCCACATCTTGTCAAACCAAAGGGGGTGTACTGCTTCTGGAAAGATAAATATAATGGTCAGTATCAAGTGGAACATGATATTTGTCAAAACAACTTTACCTGCTGCATTTTCCTAACCCAGTTCAAATATGAACCTTTATATTACTTATACCCAACATATTTGCCTATACTACCTCATATTTTTTAAACTAATTTCTACTGTCAACAAAGTCACACTTTATCAAACATTTTGAACGACTACCTGGTGTCTTTGGTGAGCTTTGGCCAATATACGCTAAAGAATATTTGTTTATGGACTCATTTATATGTTTAATCATAATTTCGGGCATGTTTTCCAACACTCTTTTAGGTAGCCAAACCCTAAACTGGTCAGAATCAGAATCAAGAAGGGTTGCTACTAGGCATTGCCCAAACTTTGATTGAATACTTAAAATAATCTTAATTGGATAAGATTTGTTTACAGTTAATGATGATGTTCTAGATCTAGATGGTATATTGTTGTCAGATTCGCAATTTATTTTATTGTTTATTTCATGCAAGGCTGAGGTATTGATAGACATAATATAAAAGGATGCTCACCAAATTCTATCTGTTAGGTACTTCAAGAATATTATTTAGTCACTTATCGATGATAAATGGCTGAATTTGAATGATCAAAGCTGTTGTTGTTTCACCATTTATATAATAACTAGCAGAGTTGGATTACCTTACAGCACCGCTGCATACCCTAAGACATTTGAACAACCCAACCCCCAGATAAATTTCGGGTGGCCCACAAAAAAAATATATAGTCAATATTTCAATTATTCTGCACCGAACAGCTGAGAGACTTTACAATCGGCATGGCAATTGTGAGGACTACAATGCCTTAACAACACCTTCCATCGACGACTCCTTTTCTATTATAAACGCGTTTATGATCTGAGGACAGAAGCACGAAAATGTTTTACAGTTCTTGATAAGGTGACCGAACTGCTGTGTGGTTTTACATCATTGAGAGGGTAACAATGCCTTCCTCGAGCTATTTACACGATACAAATTTGTCGAACAACACGTTTTCGATGCTATGAGGATGGTCATTGAGAGGACTTGGAAATTAAACACCCCCGCCCCTTACCACACCGCACCACCATGGGTTCCGTCGAGCTGTTTACCTGAGGAGAGTTAGATTACGTTACTGCACAGGTGCATACAAGAGTTCAGGAAGTCTACAAAAAATATCGCCCCACACAACGTGATTGACAGGGCAACAATGGATTACATCGCCCGTCGACCCCACATTTCTATTAAACGAGACGGTTTTGATGGTATGAGGATCGTCATTGAGAGGAGTCGGAATTTAAACACCCTCCGCCCCTTACCCCACCCCACACGACGATTGAGAGGGCATAGAATGGTCATATCATCGGATTAAGGTGTAGGGATGACTAGATTGAAGTAGGAAAAGAGCGCTGATGCTCGTTCTTTTTTTTTTTTTTTTTTTTTTTTTTTTTTTTTTTTTAACGAGGGGGGAATGCATTTACGCACCATACCATAGCACGAGCTACGACGTGTGTGGGGCTCCAGGGTCTTGAAGAGATCACCTAATACCCACTAAACCCTAAACCTCCGCGTGGCCCGACTCATCAGCGTCTCGGTAGGCCATGTGTTGTGCGTGACCTGCGGTCTGCTACAACGTCTCCTCATGTGTTTTAGTCTCTGGGAACGCCGGGTTGGTTCCCTTTACCTCGCACATTCTATCGATGTCGTTAAGCGATCATCGATAGAGGGTCTGCTAGTTTCTCTTGAAACTCTTGTTTTCGAAAAATCAAGAGTTTCAAGTCCTCTTACCAATATGTTGTTCCTGGTCCTGGTCCTGAAGGGTCCTGGTCCTGGTGGTGGCGGGTCCTGGTCCTGGTTGGTCCTGGTCCCAGTGGGTCCTGGTCCCGGTGGTTCCTGGTCCTCTGCATCCACGCCGTGGGGGGGGGGGGGAGCAGCCGCAAGTTCTCCTAGTCTCCTAGTCAAGGTTCCAGTTAGCGGGTGCCAACTGGGACCTTGGTCTGGGGTACCTGGTTCTGCGGTTGCGAGGCCTCTCGTCCGGATCGTAGTCCATGAGGAATCGTAGCTGCTCGTTCGGGTGGTCCTGAGCTTTCTCGAAGGTCTTCTCCGCTTTTTTCCTCATGTACTCGTGGATGGTATCCCAATGCAGCTCTCCACGCAAGGTTGAGTTCCTTACGTAGGAAGGTGCATTGGTGGCGATCCGGAGTAGCTTCATCTCTAGAGCAGCAAGTCGCTTGCGGTATGCTCGTTCGCCCGGTCGACGAGTTAGTTATAGTAGAGTGTGGAGGCAGGTGGGGAGGGGGGTACACTATCCGTCTACTCATTTCTATTAAACAACACGTTTTCGATGCTATGAGGATGGTCATTGGGAGGACTCGGAATTTAAACACACCCCGCCCCTTACCCCACCACACAAACCACCCCTTCACCAAAGGAATAAAACCTATCCCAAAATATTTATTTCCATCAAATCACTTATAAATCAAATTCAAGCGGATAACCAAATGGAAATGGTGTTTACCATTTTGGATTGGTATTTACCGATCTGTTCAAGCGAGTGTGGTTATCAGTTTGGTTATAAGATCCGTGACGTCACGAATCAGCTGTTATATGTCATAGTTATCACCGCAAAATTGGGGTAATTACCCAACTCCGGAGTATATATTTCTGGTTATTATTTGACATGTGACAAGTTAGAATTTTGCCGGGTATTGGATATTTTTATTTTACTTCAGCTTCATTTTTGGGAAACTTGATACAGGCTGACTTCAGTTTTAGCATAAGAGAGCACCTTATTATTTATAATCATCACTGTTGTTGGGGACACTTTAAATCTAGTTCCTACACTTAAAAAAGTATCCTGTATAGCCATATACCACAAGTATATTAAAATATGGCCGTATAAACTCACTGGATGATGTCCACCTGTATACAGTTTTGTTAATATCTTTTTTTCATCACTTTTTCATCATTTCTGCTAAATCAATAAATATTTTCTTTGACATGCGGAAAAGTTTAGAGAATTGAAAGTTATCATAGCTACAAAGCCATGGTTCCATCAGTAAAAATTTTTTTCGGAAAAAAAAACATTCCTCCCATTAATACTATGAAAGTTTTCTTTTTTTCAACTTTCCATACCCCGTTGTAGACGAAAAAGCACCGATTATTAAGTGATAATAAAAATAATCAGAAATTATATACGGGCTTTTCTAAAATAAACAACTTGCAACAAACCGCGGTTAAAACCAACGCGTTCAAGCGATTCGAGTAACTGACGTCACCATCCCGTGTGTCATCTTGAACCATATTATAACCGCGGTACATAATACGGAAATTTTGGTTATCCGCTTGGATTTGATTATAGATTATTGTATATTATATGGTATTGAGGTAATAATTGAGCTAAAACGCATGTAGTGAGCAGATTAAAAATATAAATCAAAGTTCATTTTCACCCTGAAATAAGAATTTGAGTATCTGCTAAATTGTTTGCTACATTTTGTCATCCAAGTTCACACTAAGAAACAATGACAAATGTGTGTTGCAAACAGTACTGGTCGTCTCACAAGAAACAAGTAAGCTTAAGAATGCATTCAATTTCCAAGTGTTTGAGCACACTAATAATGTTTGATCCCTTTGGAAGCACTGTTTCGAGCAAGCTCAAAAATTGTCAGAAAAAACTGAAGCTAAAAGGGTTTCTGATGATTTGTAAATAGTGGAACACAGATGTTTTTGATGGTGACGACTATTCATCCATTCAATAATATCTTTCTGCTTACTTGCTTCAAAATACTGCTCAGCATGTTCAACTTGACTCTACTAATTGCTGTGTTTGAGGTAAAGAAGGGGATGAAGGTTCAAATGAAACCAAACATCTTTAAAATTCACAGAACAAACTGCATGAAAATTATAATTATGAAGAAAGTATAGATAAAACAAATTAATATTGATACTGGGCCTTCCAAATGGCTAATTGACTAATCTTACTAGCAAAAAACAATTATATATGAGCTACAGTTGAAAAGCACATTATGAATAAAAATTATATTAATCCCTACCTACATGCCTCAGGCTCGTTCAGTAATTGCTTACTTCTCAATTTAAGCACATAATGACATTGTAATTTTTTAGAGATGGAAGATGTAAAACTTACCAATCATTTGCTTGTGGTAGAAACCTGGCTGATGATGTCTTCAATTGATCTGTTTTCCTTTGTGAAGAGTGCATGTCTGTAACCACCAAAAAAGCCAAACGGTCTAGAGATGTCAGAGCTTTCTTTCAAACCTTGTCCATTCATTGTACAAAAATGTAAAGGAATTTCTTAGTGTTTGGGAATCCATTTCATATACTTTCCTGTCAACCTTTGACTACATCCCAACTAACAATTATCACTCCTATTAGAGTTGCAAGAATGATTATACAGTATTCCTTAAACAGCATTGTATACTGTAAGAACATTAGCAAAACCCTCTTAGAACAGCTATACAAGCGGAATGGGCACACCTAATAGGACACTTCAGTCATTTAAGAGGTTGTATAAGGGATGCAGGTAAGTTATAAAACAAAAGTGTAAGCCTCTTGCAGACGCTACAGGACATTTGCGCCAGTGCAAGATTAAGTTTTTGTCAACTATACAACCAAACTATTTCCTATGTATTGTATAGACGAAGAGAAGAATATATAACTAACACATTACAGTCATCTTGTTTACTTACATATCGGCCATTGTGAATTTCATACACAGGTATATGATAAACTTCTACACTTTGATATAGGACTATTGAATTACTTGCGCAGCAAATTTTATTGTGATTATCGTGCAAATTAGTTACCCAATTTCTACGGGCTTCGTATTTGATTCATATTTTGACAATGATCAAAAGTATGTCTAGATTTTTAAGATGGAAAACTGAACTTATCTGCGTTAAATCTTCCACAAATACTATATTTAGACACAATTGCACTAATGTTTATCACTTTATATCTGTAATTTCGAA